ATAAATACATAGTTTTAAGATCGTTAATTGTAAATATGTTGTAACAATTAAGAAATTCAAAATGGCGAATCAATCATATGTTAGATATAAAAATTGAAAAACTTCAATTTTTAATGAAAATTGTATTAAAGGTTTTGGAAATCGGTAATTACAAATCTAAAGTCAAAATTACAAAATTCAAATTTATTGACTGTGAGGGGAGATAATGAGTTTTTATTAATTTTTATGACTTTTTTTAATCTCATTATTTCGTTTGATCCAAATTGTTTTTATTTAGAAATGGCGTGCAAAAAAAATCAACGTGTTATTCTCGTTTATGACGTCACGATTTTAACATGGCCGTGGCGACTACTCAGAGACTTTAATCATATCTTTATTTATTGCACTTTACAATGTTTTCAATTTTGATTTTAGATTTTACTCAGAGACCTCAAAAATGCTTTAGTACGATTTTTATTAGAAATTGTGTAACTATTAAAATTAATGATTTTTTAATTTTTACTTTTACTTCTTGATTTACTATTTTAAATTTTTTCAAAGTTTACAATATATTACCATTAACGACCTTAAATATATTCACATATAAATATTATGCAAATCAATTCGTACTGATAGATTTACCCATTTGTAACATTTTTATTGTTCATAACAGCCACATTGGATTTATTATAATGAATTTTATGATTTTAATGTTAAATTTTTAATCTGAAAAAAAATATCAAAAATATACATATAGTCAACAAATTAGATTATAATTGTAAAGTTTGCCATTTTTCAGCCATCATTTAAAAAAAAAGCTTAACACAAAAATCACGCACAATATTGATTACTTTTTTCAAAATTATTAATGGTAAACTTAATACCTGCCGCTCGCCAGATCCAACGCTGGCGAGTTTCGACGGTAAAGTCGCATCTCTTTTGTAGTTTAGACATTTTTGCTGAAAATGATTCAATCTTTACAAGTTAGATTTCTCGATACTAAAGACCGCGACATGCTATTTTTCTGACATGCACTTTTTCACTATTTCAACCTCAAGAAAACCGTAGCTGAAATGCATCGTTTATTATCTGAAATGTATGGTGATGAAACTCCATCATATAGTTTGGACGTTTTCGAAACGGTGATTTTGATGTGAGAGATGAAGAACGTCTTGGACAGCCGTCTCAAAACGCTTACATGCCATGGGAAAGTTTCATAAGGAAGGGATATGGTTATCACATGAGTTGTCAGAACATGCCATTTTAAATCGCTTGTTTAAAAAACGTGAAGCAGACACTTCTAGAGCTTGAATGGGAAGTCCTACCGCGTACTCTCCAGATTTGGCACCGTCGGATTATCATCTCTTCCTATCAACAACACGCCCTTACGGACACACACTTCTCCAGTTACAAAGAAGTCCAAAAATGGGAGGATGAATGGATGGTCTCAAAAGACACCGTGTTTGTACCGTCGTGGGATTGTTCTGGAGAGATGAGAAAAGTAATAGAAAATGAAGGAAATGACTTTGATTAAAGTGTATTCATTCATCTTCCCTTCGAAGCAAATTAATTTTGGAGACGAAAAAATGGCAGGAATTAAGTTTATCACCTAATAAATGAACTTTTATTAAAAAAAAAAATCATTAAAATTAGTTAAGATTTAAAAGCTTTAAACAATTTTGAAACACAATTTCTCGTTTTTCACCCACTATTTTACGTCCGCCATTTTGGAAAAATTTTAATTCAAAACTTGACCTTAACAATTTTATTCGAAATTAACCCTTGTATACGCACCCGGGTACCTCGGTGCCTCATTTTTTTTCAATTTTTTTAAAAATATTTATGCAATTGAAATGATTTATTTAACGTTTATTTCAATCAATTTCAATAAATGAAAAAATGAGTGCCCGAGATATTTTTTAATTTTTAATCCACTTACATGCAAAAATGTATCGTGGTGGGTACCCGGCTATCCGGGTGCGCACACAAGGGTTAAATAAGTTTTTATTTAAAAAAAAATTAAAATATTAAAATTGTAGATACTAGACAATTTTAAAACACAATTTCTCGTTTTTCTCCACTGTTCGGTGTGACGCTCACGCTTAACTTCGAAGGGTAGTAGAATACTGACATGCGATATATTTGGGAGAGAAGACAATAGATCATATCGCATATCAGCAGTTTTCACACACCCATCCACACCTGATTGGGTACTCGCTCCCTGTAGTACATTACTTGAATGATGTTAATGCCAGCGATACTATAAGTTTCAGGTTTTATAACTAAAAAGTATTTATTAAAAAAATACTTTATTATAATGTTTTGAAAAGTTCTCTATCTGTCTGCTATAATAATGTCCAATAAAAAGTAATTTTTATTTTAAAAAAAATTTGATGTTACCATCATGATTTGACCTTGGCGACATCACTCAAAATTTGTGATATAATATGTAAATATAGTATATGTATATGAAAATATTTTTATTTCTATATTTTGCCTCATTAATCAATTGTTTTATCTTGAATTGAAATAGGAAGTCTTTCAATAAGAATACAAAGATGATATTTTTCGTATGTGCATGTATATACATATATCAAGACACTCAATCGACTCTTCCAACTTATAAAAACTAATGGATTTGCATGTAAAAGAAGCTCGTTACTCATAATACTCACAATGCTTGCGCGGTTTCTTGAAATATGATACTGATTTTTATGATATGAATTCAAGATTATATAATTTATTACACTCGTCATTACAGAATTATGATTGTACGATTCATCGCTCGCTCACTCTCTACATTATATCTATGTGAAGTTATAGCCTCCCAATATTGAAAAGTTTCTTTTTGCAAACAATTTGCGTCCATCATTTGCCTCCTCAACCCTAGTTTAAAAGTTACAGAAAGATCAATTTTAGAGGGCTTAACTTTACACTAGCCTCTCAATATTAAAAAATCTAAAATTTTCATTTTGCAAATGTTTGCTTATCGTTTTCCTACAAATGCTCTGTTGGAATTTTATTTGACCCTTCCCCTCCCACTCTAGCTTAAAATAAATTAAAAGTATGAAACATTTTTACGCGCTTGACAATGATATGTGCATGTATTTTAGTATATGTAGTATGTATGTCTTCCCTAACACAATATATATTTTCTGCTTTAATTAAAAACAATTGTTTTTTAATTTGAATTACACACGTACGCGCGCGCGCGCGCAAATATACTATAGCATATATTGAACAAATTTTCTGCTATAATTAAAATTTTTAATTATATAAAGTTTTATGTTGTTATTTATTTAGTAAATGCGTCGGGCGATATACATTTTGAAAAACAAAGCATTATCTGTTATAGTTTATATTATACAAGGTGATTTAAAAACAACCTTTTGTTCTTAAAGAGACATACTCCTGGCCTTCCGAATTGACTTTGGAGACCTCACGTGGTAGGACCTTGAAGCTCTGGATCATTTTTATAATGCCTTTTTTACAAGAAAATAACTCTGTACGAGCCTTCAGGAGCTTTTTCTGATTACGAATATCATAATTAAAACACGATTCATGTTATATTTTAGCCACGATTTCAGTATAAAGGTATATATTTATAAGTGCAGAGCTAGGTCAGTTATGCTCATTTTTCTCCTCGAAGAAACATTATTTCTTTATAATACCTGTTGGGATTTCCTTGTTATATTGCTGGGAAGGCTCGTACAGAGACAGATTTCGCAAATTGTTTCTTGAAAATTTTTATTAATAAAATAATGTACACCTCAACTGCACCATAGCACACATCGAGTGAGATATCAAAACAAATTTTTTTCTCTTTTTACAAAAAAAAAATAGCTCTGTACGAGCCTTTCCTAATTACGAATATCATAATTAAAACGCGATCCATCCAGTATTTTAGCCGTAATTTGGGAATAAAAAATTCATCTTCAACTAGAGGTCTCCACGGGTCTCTCCTGTATTAAAGGTGTGCTTATGAGCACACGCATGCGTGAAGATGGCGGATTTCAGTCTATGCGCAGAACATGACGAAAATGCGTCCGAGAATTGAGACTTCTAATTGACATATCGGATTGGCTGTTGCAACAAATTTGTGACCAACGACGCCTACGTACGACCAATGTAGAATGGGCTTTATACTTCCGCCATGAGAATACCTTTGGGATTACGCAAAGATCAATTTTTTATTGTATTAGTTGTTGGACTAGGAACCGGTATTTACAATTGGAATTCTCTAATAAAGGAACATATAAAAGAATGTGAAACAGAATTACAATTAAATGAGGTAATTGGCAAATCGTATCTAATGATACGATCATAACCTGTACGCTGGTTATATATTAATTAAATATTTCGCGATTATATAATGTAACGTTATATAGATTATGTGTGTATAATGCATATATCCTATATATATATAACTTATCATATATTTACTATTATCTATATGTATTATAATAATTCTTAGTACTATGTTATTGATATAATATTCATACTATCAATAGTAATATTTTCTAACAAAAAGTTTGCATGTTTAATGAGGAAAAGAACAAACATTAAAATATATTTCAAGGATTTTTATCATTTGTAATTTTTTAATCTTTGAAAAACTATCATTGCTTATTTTAAAAACAATTTTGATTATGGGCAAAGATTTTATGAATGATATTTTTCTTAAAATAGTATAACAAATTGTAATAAATTTTATAGTCTGATAACGAGAAGCAAAAGTCTGCTAGTTAATAAGTTTAGCCGGTTGGGGCTTGTGGTGATCAGCGGTGCTATTTCTGCAGTAGGTTTCACGTAAGTATACATTTTGCTCTATTTTTATGAAGTATTAAATAAGGATATACAATTAGAATTCTATTTTACGCAGAACGTTCATACTACCATGGTTCAGACAGCGGAAGGCAGCAAAAGCTGAGAAATTTGCGAATTTTATTTATGAGCAGCGTAAGAAAAAAGGCTTAGAGTAGAGGAAAAATTCAACTCGAGCTCATGATGTACGTCTTATTAATTTTACATAATTTTTTTTTATTAATATCTTATATTTCAAATAAACAGATTACATATAAATATAGCATGGTACAATAGAACTCTATCGTTCCAATAAAACTGTTACATGATTTTATTGAGTGATCTTGCAATCTATTCTTGTTCTTGAAACTTGCTGCCATAGAATGGAATATATCCTACCACTGCTTTCCAGTCCGTGAAGTACAACAGTGCTAACCATGCGCTAGTTCCATAAGCCACCATTGTAGTTGGAGTCCTAAAAGAATTATTTGATGACTTGAATAAAATATTTGATACCTAATGCACAAAAGATACACATACTTGTATCAAAATAAAATAAGTATCTCTTTTTTTTTTTTATGTGTGCATGTGCGTATGTGTAAAAATATTAAAAAATGAAACCTTGTTATTATGTTTATTCTATGCAGTTATTTAAATTTAGAGTATTTATTTAAGCGAGATGCCTCATCTCTGATGAGGTGCCTTACCTCTGGTTTTAATGAAATTAGTGTCAATCGCGTTTTTACATAAAACGAAATTGCAGAGTGAAGTATCGCTCTGCCCCTGTAATGCAAGTGCTGAAGGTAAAACCTCCTCAATACGTAATATGGATACAAGAGGGGAGAGGAGCTCTGCTCTTTCTCCTGGCTATTAAATTAATTTCTAATTAACATAAAACACTGAAGAATTAGACATTACACTATATTGTGATTAGAAAAAAAGAATATGAATGAATTTTTATTAGTAGCTGCTACATATATTTATTTGTGATACATGATACAGCTCACCTTTATAGGAATCTGTCTAATCTTTTCGAAATCTATTATATATATATATATATATATCTTAGATTTTTGTTAATTTAATAATAGCATTTTTGACCAGATCGGGTTTGCACCAACTTGGGTTGGAAAATGCTTTGCTATCAGTCGACGTTTCACACTCTACCTACTTCAACCCAGGTAGTGCAAACCCGGTCGTCCTGATCGGGCCGAAAACTTTATAAGGCGAAGATTTATATATCAAATTCATGCGCATGGAGTCACAGAGCATGCATGTGTGATCTTACGAGCCCAGCACACGCGCAATTCGATACGTTAGGTCGATATAAGTTTCGTAACCTCAATAATCGTCAACTTTTAACGCTTAATATCTCGGTTCGCAGGACAGAGCGACACTTTTTTCTATAAATTCTTTCGTTTCATGCAAAGACGCATCGAATGAGACTAATTTCATCAAAATCAGGAGTAAAGTATCTCTTCTAAATAATTGTCGAAAATACAGAAACACTCACCATTTTGAAGCTAATTTTCGTGTTATTTGCAGAGGCATTTTTTTTATGTCGCTTGAAAGTATTTATAGTAACAATCTTATTATTTTATGCCAAGGAAAGTAATGCTGTAAGATGGAATAGAAAACGAGAGAGAAGTCTCTGCACAAAATATGAAACTGTCTAGTTCAGTTACATATGATACCAAGTACGTTATCAGTATGACGTAAGGTAACTGGTTTAATGCCGCAGCACTGACTTTTACATGTGCGTAAAGCTTGGTCCACAATCTCGCTTTAAAGATCCGTCTTACAATGAGATTGGCTGTAAGCA